AGCTAATTTCACTCCAGTTCCATTTTTTAACTTGTTGACTTTTTCCATGAAGAAGTCCCTCTCCATTTTGTTGCTTCCATTTCTCCTGCCTCTCACATTAGCCCTAGGATCTTCTTGGAGCTTTGAAATATTTCTCATCCAGAGATTTTTAGCAAATTAAGAAGTTTGAGATGTTTATTAGTGCTGTCTTTTCTCTACTCATGGTTATGCTTGAGTAACGTTTTCTGACAGTTTTCATTACTAATCTGCTTGTATGTTTTGTTTTGGTGGGGGGCGGGTACCAGGATCCTTGCACTTGCAAGGCAGCCAGCAGAACCACTGAGCTAAATCCCTGGCCTGCTTGTATTTTTTTTTAATGCTCAAGAGCTAGAAAATAAGTCACTTAAACTACCTGTTTATTGGTAGTGAATTGGTGACAGCTTGCTTCCCCAGTGTAAGGAGTTAGCCCAGACTGCTGGTTCCTTCTTGGTTCTGGCATTCTTTTTTTCTCATTTATATTCATATCTTCTCTCTCACTCTCATTTTTTTTAAAGGAATAATCCATGGAATTTATTCACGTTAGTTTTTTTTTAAAATAAATTTTATTTTATTTTCTCTCATTTTATGACAGTCTCATTATATAATTCAGGCTGGTCTTCAAGTCCTGTAGTCCAGACGGGCCTTTCTGTGATCCCCCAGCCCCAGCTTCCCAGGTGCTAGTATTACAGGCATGCACCACCATGCCTGGCTCTTTATTTCTCATTCTCAACTCTATACATAGATTCATGTAAATTCATTCCTCTCCTGCCCCTGCTTTATTCTTGAAAAACTAAGGATAACTATATTCATATATGTTATAGTATCTTCAGTATCAGAAAACCATTTCCAGAAATCACCTATTTCTTTTAATTGATAAAGAAGATGTCTTAATTTCCTCAATTAAAAGATAAAATCTCAACTAGGTGCATGTGGTGGTGGTGCATGCCCATAATCCTAACTCTAATGAAATGAAACATAGTCAGTCACAAGTTCAAACCCCAGTCTGAGCAATTTAGCAAGACCTTGTCTCAAAATTAAAAACACAAAGGGGCCAAAGATGTAGCTCAGAGTGAAGGCCCCAAGTTCAATCCCCAGCACCATAAAATAAATATACATTTTTCAAAAAAGGAAAGATAAAGCCTCGTTTATCTTTTTGTCAAGGGATCACACTGTGTTGGATTAGAACTAGGTTACTGAATCCTCTGCATTTGAAAGAGTTATATATTTTATTTAATAGATTAGGAGAGTAGCTTGATACAACTTTTGTTTTAAAAAAAAAGCATAGGTTTGGTTTTCTATTTAATCTTATTTATTTGTTGAGTTGGGAGTTGACAGGGCTGGCAGGTGCTTAACCAGTGAACCACACCTGCCTGCCTAAACTTTGCCGTTTTTACCATATTTTGTTCTTAAAGTTTTTGTTTGTTTGGTTTCATTTTTTAATAGCACAATATTTATTGATACACTTTAGGCATACATAGCAATAACAGTCATTATAAAGAATTTGCACTTACACATTGGTACATCCTTGTTCCTTTTTTCCCCATGCTCTCCTTCCCCTCAAGCCTCTTCCCCTCCCTATGCACAAAAGCTTTGTTTCTGTTTTTCCCTAGTTTTTTTTTCTCCTATAAAATCAGAATTATTAGTTGCCAATTCGCTGTGATACATCTTTATAAATGATAATAGTTCCAGATGTGTGTGATAGCACACACCTACAGTCCCAGCACCCAGAGACTGAGGCAGGAGGATCATGATTTCAAGCTCAGCCTGGGCAACTCATTAAGACTTTGTCTCAAAGTAAATAAAAAGGGCTGAGGATGTAGTTCAGTTGAAAAGCTCTGGGTTCAGTCCCCAGTGCTGGGGCAGGGGGAGATAATAGTCCCTGTAAGAATGTGTATAAGTTAAGCTTTACAATTTTAACACAGAAAGATTGCTGAAGGAGTTGCTGAGGAAAGATGGCCGATGACTAAAGTGGTAATAAAACTGCTGCAAATTCATTGCAATGTATATCAGTAATCGCTAATTCTTTCAGTTGACCCTGTGTGTTTGCCGTTTTCATTACTATTTTGAAGATTAGAAAATTAATATTTAAAGAGTTGGGATTCACAATCAAGTGAGTCTAGAGCCTGTGCTCATCTTGATGCAAAGAGCTGAGTCAGTAAAATTGCCACTAGCTGAGTGTGGTGATCCCAACACAGAAAGCTAAAGCGGGAGGTTTGTGAGTTCAAGGCCTTGGCTACATAGCAAGGTCCTACAAAATGAGAAGGAGTGAGAGAATTGTGTGTATTTCAAAAAGATAGGATTTGCTGGGCATTAAAGAGTGGTAGCATTGGAAAAGTAGCACGAGGAAGTAGTCCAATGATGGAAGAAATCCATAGACAGAGAAGCAGGAATGAGCTCAGCAGTTTAGAAGACAGTGACAACAGCGTGGAGACTAACCAGATGACAAGGTGGCTGGAGATTAGTGAGGACTGAGTGGAGTGTGAGGCTGCATTATTGTGGGACTAAAAAGCTGGACAAAGAGTTCTAGTTGAGTTGCTAGGAGTTAAAGTCCATTTGAATTTTATTTTATCTTATTAGCATTGGATTTTTCTCTGTAGCATTAAGGAAAACCTGTCTAGTGAGGATATATGGGATGAGAGAGGGATGAGAGAACTTGGAACTGAACAAGAAAGCCAAGTAGAAGACATACTTCAGCTGCATAATGAGTTCGGGACCAGCCTGAACTGTAAAGTGAGACCCTGTCTCAAAAAACTAATAAAAAAAGAAGACACACTGCACTTAGGCTAGGTAGTAGAGGGTGAGGTGGGATTGAAGAAGGAATGGACACCCCAGACAGAGAAGGAGGAATTGAACTTACAGTGAGTGTTGAAGGCATAAGGTAAAGATAAATAGGGAAAGGATGTGGGTGTCTACTGACAGAAACACAACAAAGAAGATACATGGTTGGAGAAAAGGGTGGTGGTTTAAAGTCAAGGAAACAGTGAAACTTGGTGGAAAGCCTGGTACACAAAGGTCAAAGCAAGACTGAGCGTGAAAGGTGGCCACAATCAGTGTCCGTGACCTGAAACCGTGGAGTGTAAGCAACTGTTGGTGCAAGTAGGCAGAGTCCAGTTGGACTTGAGTAGATGGCCAGCCTCGTAGCCTTCCCATTGCATGCTTCCCAGATACTTTAGAATAGGGTTAGAGACAGACTTCTCCTGCTCTCCTAGGAGTAGGTATTTAGAACTCTTCTTTTTAGAGATTATATGAAGAAATTAAAATACTGTCTATATTAATCCTTTTTCTGGCACTTTATATCTGAAGCTACAAAAAGACAGCTCCCAAGAAGGGAAAAATGACTTTGAGATGTACTTTCTTAAAATAACTGTAGAAATGACCTCATGAGCCAGCTGATAGCAATGGTGTGCAGATGGATATATTTCTATTCACCTGCTACTTGATGCAGCAGAGCCAGCCTATGTGGAATATATTATATCATGTCCTGCAGGCAGGAACCTATTTGCAAGACACTAAGAGAGGTAAAGTAGTAGACTTCATTGTAAATACTGTCAACTAGACCTGTCTTTATTAGGTACGTATTAGTGACCTCTGTTATGTAACAATTTGTTTCATCTTAAGGTAAAATAATATTCAGTACTTGTTATAGTAAGAATTTTAAGAACACCTGATAGTCGGATATGATCTTCAATATTAAAGCATTGCCATGTACCTTCTCTCATGAATGAAGTATTCCTTTTATTTTTTTATTGTGAGTATTCCAGATAGATAGATAGATAGATAGATAGATAGATAGATAGATAGATAGATAGAGATAGATAGATAGATAGATAGATAGATAGATAGATAGATGAGGGAGGAAGTGAGGGACAGAGGGAAGGAGAGAGAGAAAGCGCACACACCAGGTCCCTGAGTCTGTCTCATTCTCAGAATGGCCCATCTCTGTCATTTTGCACTGCAAGGCACAGCAGATTGTCGTTGGTGGATACCACTCTCCATGCATTAGTGTTATAGACCACGAAGTTAAAATGAGGGCAGTAGCCTGGGAGGAGTTCTAAGATTATAACCTAGTGAATTGCTTTTCTTGCAAAAAATTATCATCAGTGATAAAAAATACTTGCAAAGTAGACCCCTTTCTCCCCCAGCACATACTCAGAGCACAGTCTCTATGCCAGGAAATAAAAAAAGAATGATAGCTGACTATGGTTTAAAACCTGTTTGGTTTGAATTTGATTTGTAAAATAATCTGAAAGAAATCCATAGTGCACTTAAAGTCAGAAACTTACCTCTATCTATAGATGAGATTCATGGACAATAGCCTAGCTTATTAAAAACTTTCTAAAAGAGTATTAAGAGGTTTCCTTCATTTTATTCAGTAGAAAATATTTTTCTGTATTTTATAATCATCCTTCTTACTGAACTGTCTTGTTGTTTGTAGTAGTTTTTCATTTGATTCTCTGGGGTTTGCCAGACATACAATCACTTCATCTTTAACTAGTGATGATGTGACTTGTTCCTCACCTCTTCACTTGATCTTAGCCAAAAGGCCCAGAAGCAATTGCTCCTCACCTCTTACTCTGCTCTTCTTTGATTGCATTGATTACTACACCCAGAACAATGTTAAAAATACCTTGACTTAGTCACTTTTAATGCATGGAAATTATAGAAGGGAAATAAGCTGTAATGCCAGTAATATCTTAGAAGGCAGAAATCAAACCTAGGGGTAGATATTCTTGCCTTTTTAGGAGCAAGTCTACAAAATGTAGCTTAAGGTGCCCTTTACCAACATATGTGTACCTCTCCATCAGCCAGGGAGCTGTAGCAACCCTTGGAAAACAGTGGCTTCTTTCTTAGCTGTCATATTTGGAGTTCTCTGGGACCCAGCAGGAAGATACTCTATTTCATAATCTTAGAATTTGGTAGGGGACATATACACACTCCCTGATGTACTTCATGAATACTGATGTCACGCTCTTCTCTTCTAGGCCCAGCTTCGGGCATTTATCCCAGAGATGCTCAAGTACTCTACAGGTCGGGGAAAACCAGGCTGGGGGAAAGAAAGCTGCAAACCCATCTGGTGGCCTGAAGACATCCCCTGGGCAAATGTGAGAAGTGATGTCCGCACAGAAGAGCAGAAGCAGAGGGTGAGCTTCCTCTGGCCTGTGCTGCCCATTGCTCTTCCATCCTGAACCAGTTGCTTCAAGTTTTGTTATTTCTACTTCTTATACTGAAAAGACTGAAAACATTTGTGTATCAGTCCAACTTTTCCTCCAAAGAAGTTTAATGTTCTCTGACTTGCAGTTATTCCCCTTCATCACTCCATCACACACAGAAGACAAGGATAGGCCTGTGAATTTATACTTTGTCTTCCTAGTTGCTTTTTGGAACAACTTTAATTTTATAAGATCTTGTGAAAACCAAAGAAACTCCCAAGTGAAAGTATTCATCACTTCAAAACTTTAAAATGTCCTTATTTCTGATTGGCAAGAATCACTGTCCAAAAATATAAATATGGTATTAGAGAGGTATGATGTCTACAAAGTGAGTCTGCTAATAAGGAAACTGAAAAGAAAGACTAGACCTGATAACATCCCTTCTTTTTCTGCATGTTTTTATTTGGCAGAAAGTATAATATATACAATTCTTGGCCAGAGTAATCTTCTTTTGTGAGAAACCTAAGTTTGACCTCAGATTGGAACAGAATATAAAACCCCAAAGTTAAACCAAACATTGATGAGGAAGAAAATCCATGGGAATCCTTCTTTGGTACTTGGTTCTCAGTTTCTTTGTGCAAAAATCAGTCTGTGGGAAATAATCCTGGGAGGGTTTACTGTACATGTGGTTTGATTTGGCTTGATGAGTAGACAGGTGGTTATTCCACAGTGGGACCGAATCTTTGTGGCCTAATGTACTTTTCCCATGTTTTTGTGACAGGTTTCATGGACCCAGGCTTTACGGACCATAGTTAAAAACTGTTACAAACAGCATGGGCGGGAAGATCTCTTGTATGCTTTCGAAGATCAGCAAACACAAACACAGGCCACCACCACACACAGTATAGCCCACCTTGTACCATCACAGACTGTAGTGCAGACCTTTAGCAACCCAGATGGTACCGTCTCACTTATCCAGGTGAGTAAACCTGATGGTTTCTGGAGAGCTGGGTTCTCACCCGCAACTGGACAAAGTTGTCCTGTGCCAACTCTTGTTTGAGCTTTATTCAGCTCCCCTAGGTTCCTTACCTAAAACTGACTCTTGAACAATATTGTAAATTGTTTGCATTTTACTAAATTCAGAGTTAGGAACAACTTTCCTTGATATTTTCAAAACAAAGCATTTTTTGAGACAGGATCTCACTATGTAATTCAGGCTGGCCTTGAACTCTAACTTATTCCGAATCACCAGATACTTCTGTCTCTGCTGAATTTGGTGTCCAGTGCATCTTAGTGTCTGAGTAGCAAGGCAGAGGCCCATCCACAGAAACTGACCACTTTCCATGGCTCTCTTTAGGTTGGCACAGGGGCAACAGTAGCCACATTGGCTGATGCTTCAGAATTGCCAACCACGGTCACTGTTGCGCAGGTGAATTATTCTGCTGTGGCTGATGGAGAGGTAAGAAAAACATTCTGTCTCCATCTATTTAAATACCTAGATGAATGGGTGGGTGAGAATTGAAAATCCAGAAGATGAAGGTGTAGCCTTTAAATATATAGCATTATATTATTTAAACCTTTTTGACATCGTGCCATGACAATTTAGAGAATCATCTGCTATGTGTGTGCATTCTAACATTAAAATTCATGAACCACTGTCCCTGAAATCCAACTAGTGGGGATTACTAGTTTTATATTTGTGATACAGCATTTTGTTTAATAAACTAGAAAGGATTATCTTTCTAACATTTTTCTGTGAGAAGGATCATTTGAGGGTCTGGTTTGCAGAAAGTATGAAATAACCTAAGTAGTTGCAAAGAAATAAAAAATTCTGCAGTCTTTAACAGTTTAAAGTTAACTAGGGAGAAGTACAAATTACATAAACATTTAGAATTGGACAAGGAAAGGTGTTTTTTATAAATAGGGAATAATTTATGCATGTTGACTTTATGGTTTGTTTGTTTGTTTGTTTTGTGGTTTGTGGAATCGAATCCAGGTCCTTGAGCTTGTGAGGCGGGTGCTGGAACCACTGAGCTAAATTCCCGGCCCCTGCATGTTGACTTTAAAATATACCCTAGCTGTGTGTGATATTAAGAAGGGAGGCTCACTTGGGCCACAAAGCACTGGGTTTTGCCTCTAACACTACATAAATTAATTCATTAACTTTTATTTTCATGACATATGTTAAAATGCAAATAGTATGAAAACTTATTCTGTCCTCTGTTAGGACCACCAGGTAATATTAAGTGCATTGAGGGCCAGAAAAATCAAAATAGAATGCTGTCATAACATAATGCTATATGATTTTGCTGGAAGAAATACAACATCAAATTAGACACAAGTGCCTTAATCAGAACTATCACACATGTAACAGTTTTGAAATTGCACAAGTCATTTCAGTGAGTGGTTTTTTTTTTTTTTTTTAAGGAATATCAGTTTAGCTGGACTATATATAGGCTGAAAAACAAATAGGAAAATAAAGGAATATGTTCTGTCCATGCAGTGAACATGGGTGGCACTCCAAGCGAGGCACTGGAAATACTTAGGTACAGGACAGTAAAGCTTGCCCTCACCTGTGAGGAGCATACAAGCAGGCAGTGGGGAAAAGAAACTCCACAGAGAAGCATGGCACTGAGCTAAGGGTCTAGCAGCAAGCCCAGGGCACTCAGAGAAGAGAGGCCCCAGTCTTAGACTGTAGGGCAGTGGCAGTCTCAGGTAACACTTCCTAGAGGAGCAGCACCTGAGCTTGGATGAGGAGAGTAACTAGAAAAGCAAAGGATGCAGGGATGGGAGCTTTGTCTAGCAAAGGCAGAGGTACATTCCATGCACTGAGTTACAAAGCATGGAATGGCCACAGTACTCTCTGTAGCTAATTTGAATGGCCTCTATAGTGAGTCTCCCACAAATACAGAGAAGCTAACGGGATATCTTCAGTTACTGCCACTGTCCCCGTGGCCCTTTCTTTGGGACATGGTGACATCCAGGCATAGATAACCACACAGTAGCTCCCAATAGATGGGAATTGAGAGCAGCAGGAACTCAAGCAGCACAGTCAAGGTGCTGAGATTCCAAGACAGAAAAATGCTAAATGGATGAAAGAACTGAAGCTAACTTACTTATCACCTGCCATATTTCTCTTCTATTTCTTTTTTCTTCCCACCATCTACCATCATCCCCATTAATCTCATGCCATATAATTTCAGTTACAACTGCAGTCATGGTGAAATGTACGTATGCTGAATTTCTGCCATTGGAGTATGGTGAGCTGCCCTGAGCCCAGCTCAGGGGAGAGAGCAGCAGTGTGATTGCTACAAGTGAGGCTGGATCAAGAAAGAGGAAGACTGTTCAGTAGCAGTATATGATGCAGCTGTTTCTGGTTTTGGTTTTTGGATTTTCAGTATTTGTTTTTGTTTCTTTTGAGACAGGGTCTCACTGTGTAGCTGAGGCTGGCCTCAAACTCACAGTGATCCTTCTGCCTCTTTGTTTTTGTGTGGAATGACTGGCCAGCTAAAAATTGATAGTGTAGCTTGCTGTTCAAAGTGGGATTGTTTTTGTTTTGTTTGGTTTGGTTTGGTTTGGTTTTTTGAAACAGGGTCCCACTATGTAGTTGAGTCTGACCTGGAACTCACTATGTAGCCCAGGCTGGTCTTGAACTCCCAGTGATCCTCCTGTCTCAGCCTCCCAAGTGCTGCGTTTACAGGCGTGCACCACCAAGCCCAGCTCTTTTGTTTTTGTTTTTCAAAGTGGGATTGTTGACAACAAAGCTTACTGGAGAAGTGAGCTCACACCTTGGAATCAAGAGTTTAGGAAGTTCCTAAATGGGTCACTTTGTACCTCTCTGTAGTGAAGAGCCATGAAAACTTGCTGGCACCATCCTGTTCCTAGGAAAACCCAGGGCACATACTAAGGGATCTCAAAAGAATGTCTCATGATATATCTATGATAATTAGAAGCATTATCATAATCTTAGGATGATAATTGAACCAAAGCAAGAGGTATTTTAAGCATCTCTCCTAGAGCTTTTGGCACTTTCTTTGGGAAACAGTAGTAGACAGGTACAAGATAAGCACTCACTGAGCCCAGCATTATGAAGCAGGGACAGTAGAGCCCCAGGAAGCACCACTAACATCCTGACAAGCAGATTTATTACCTCCCGTACCTCTGAATAGAAACTGTCTACACTGTCCTACTGCATTTTGTTTTTGAGGGGAGGATTAGAACTGAGAGATCTCTCTTCTACGAATTGTACTAAAAATCAATGGTTCACAACTCAGGGCCAGAAAGAATATTTTTGGGTTTTTGTTTGTTTTGATTTTTTTATTTTTGAGACAAGATCTTGTTATGAAAGTCAGGCTTGAACTCAATATGTAGCCCAGGCTGGCCTTGAACTCAAAGTTATCCTCCTGCCTCAGCCTCCCAAGTTCTGGGATTGTAGGTGTGTGCCACTACACTCGGCACAATATCTAGAGATATTTTTGATTGTCATGACAAAGGAGATGCTATGGCATCTAGTGGGTAAGAGCCAGGCATGTTAGTAGACATCCTGTGATGCAGAGGATAGCCCCCACAATGGTGGTCAGGCCCAAAATGTTAATGCTGCCAAGGTTCAGAAATCCTCTGCTAGCTCTAACAAAGCTGGCTTCTCATTTACTCTATTACCAGAAAATTTAGTTTTTTAGTTTGGTTTCTTCGTAATTCCTCGCCCATTAAAAAGAAAGCATTTGGAGCTGGGGATTTAGCTCAATGGCACTGCGCCTGCCTTGCAAGCGCAAGGTCCTAAGTTTAATCCCCGGTACAAAAAAGCATTTTTGTGCTATACACATATGACATACATACATAAATATATATCATACGCCCCTGGGTTTGAGTCCCAGCACCACCCCAAAATAATTACATTTATATTTATTTTGTTGGGCTGGGGATGTGGCTCAGTTTTGGAACTCTTATCCAACATATATAAATTCCTGGTTTTAACCCCCTGCACTGGAGGGAGAAAAATTGCTGAGTTTGGCAGTTTCCATCAAAAATCAAAATACAAAATAACTGATTTATAATTCTACCTTTACGAATTTATTCTACAAATAGGTAGACTCACATATCCTGTACGAAATGGTATGTAAGGATATTCCACACAGCATTGTTGGTAATAGCAAAAGACTAAAACCACTTGAATGCCCATTAAAAGATGGCTGGTAAGTCAGTTGTGGTGTTTCTATATGACGCTATGCTCTATAGCAATTATGGATCATGAATGAATGAAATAGTTTTCTACTAAAGTGAATCATTTCGGAGATGTATTGTGGGAGTGGGGCAAGGCATAAAAGGTATGTAGACTATGCTGTCATTTTTCTTGTTAAAGTGGAACAGAAAGGGGAATGTGTGTGTGTGTGTGTGTGTGTGTGTGTGTGTGAATGTTTGCATATACAGAGAATACTGCTGCAAATATAAGAAAATGGGTAGCAGTAGTAGACCCTTTGGGCAGAGTCTGGAGTAAGTACTAGCATTATACTCCCTTTGGTGCACTTTGAATTTATCATGTATAACGTAATATTTTACAATATGTATACAATTTAGGATGGCTAAATCAAGCTAATTAACACATACTACTTCACATACTTTTTTTTGTAGCAAAAGCACAATTATTTGTATTGTCTATTCAAAAGTTTATCCTTAATATTTAATCAATAATATTTTTAAAGTATACAGTGGAAAGTTTATAGAGCTGTCTTCTATCTAACCTCAAAGAAATACTTGCAATGTGTTTGTGTGCATCCCAAAATTTCCTCTATGCAAATATAAGCAAATTCAAATATATATTCTACAGGGCCGGGGATTTAGCTCAGTGGTTCCGCCACCTGCCTCACAAATATATATTCTACTACCCTCCCTTTTTTAACACAAAAAATAATATATTAAAAACCCTGTCTCTGAATCATAGGTCATATTGATTTAAAAGTATATATTTGCTGCCTGCCTCACAAGTTCAAGGTCCCGAGTTTGATCCCCCGTGCAATCAATCAATCAGTTTTTAAAAGTATATGTTTACTTGGCTAAATGCATGGCAATTTATTATAAAGATTACTATTTTTAAGATCATAACCCTTTTTCGGCTGTGACTTTTGACTATCTTGTTCTTTCTACTTCAGGTGGAACAAAACTGGGCCACATTACAGGGAGGTGAGATGACCATCCAGACAACGCAGGCATCAGAGGCCACCCAGGCAGTGGCATCCTTGGCAGAGGCCGCAGTGGCAGCTTCTCAGGAGATGCAACAGGGAGCCACCGTCACCATGGCGCTCAACAGGTGGAAGCAGGGAGCAGGGCATATGAGGGTTGCGGGTCTGTCCTTGCAGAGAGGTGCTGTCCCTCAGCGTATACAGTTGGCATTTGGAACTAACACTCTCTGCCTGTAAGATATTTTAGGTTGGTTTATAGTAAGCCCTTACCAAGAAAAATTGAATTTTTTTTTTCTCTCCAGGATTGTTTAGGCAGGGAGTTGCAGAATGGGATACTCCATTAGGAGGTAGTTTCCAAAATGGAGTTGTATTGTTTTCTCTTGGGTTTTTCTACTGCTTGTTGATAGGAAAGATTATCCCCATATCATTCTTCCTCTTTTTTCTGACACAATTTTATTTTCAACCAACCCAGGCATTTTGGTCATGGTTGAGGGTGGACCTTGGAGCCAAGCTTCCTGAGCTTGAAGCCCAGCCGTGTCACTAAGTGGTTGACCTTGGGCATTTTATTTGAAGTTTCATTATCCACACTTTCCTCATCTGTAAAATGGGCATAATAGCTGTACCTGCCTTTGCCAGGGTATTATGAGAACTGTAAAAGTTACTGCCTATGGGACCCTTTGACAGCACCTGATGTGTAGTAAAGGCTGCTATCGTTATGCATGGCGGCTGTTATTCACTGATCTCTGTGACACAGCAGCACCCTACTAGGTAAGCTTGGGAGAGTGCTTCAGCACATAATCGTTGCTCTTAGAGAAATCGTGCTCTTACTGGGGAGACTGATTTCAGTAAAACACCTGTCAAACAATATGAGAGTGCAGTTCCCTATTGAGTCATGTAGTAGTACAGTCTAAACATTGTAGAAGTTCAGACAGGGAAATCAACTTTGCCAAAATATAAAAACCAGCTTCAGTTTAGATTGGTTAGAGTAGATGAAAAGCATTGATGGCTTTATGTACAAATAGCATACTGTATGGGGCTGTACAGTGTGGTGGTTGAGAAAAGGGTCCCAAGGTCACATAAATTCTCTTTGAATTCCAGCTCCACAACTTGCCTTTTGCTCTTGGGAAACGTAACCTCTGAGCCTTGGCTTCCTTCTTATTATTACCAGACTGATATTCATATTCATCACACAAAGATTTAATGAAATGATGAATATGAAACCTTTATTAGGGTGTCCAGCTCCTATTTAGTACTTTAGAAACTATGGCTACAGGGCAGGGATTTAGCTCAGTGGTTCTGCTGCTTGCCTTGCAAGTACAAGGACCTGAATCTGATCCCTGGTACCAAAAGCAAGGAAAAAATTATAGCTAGATGTCATATATTTCAAGATCTGTCTGTTCACAATTGATTATATTGAAAAGTGATTATAAGATCTGCTAGGAAGAGACAGTCCAAGTGTACTTCTCTAAAAGGCTTGGAAACTGATGTTGTGAGAATTAGAGATAAAGTGACTGATTTTGCCAGCTATAATAGCCAGAATTTGGTGATTGGTCATCAAGAGAAGACTGAAACACACACAAACATCCTTGGCCTTTGAGAATTACCTGAGTAACCTGGAATTCAAACACTTTCTTCTCAGCCTGTTGAACCATGTCACTTTTCAGTAACATGTAAGTCTTAACATGTTGGCTTGGTCTTACTCTTTCCTTTGAGAGAAAACCCAGATAAACTTCCTGAAAGCATGTTTCAAGTGAGAACCTCCTAGCCTGTTGACCTCCGTGACTGTGACTGTAGGCCTAAGAGGCCATCATTATAAACCAGCAAACCTTGAGCCTTCCAGTCAGCACCCTGCATGTTCCAGTGAGCTTTCAGTCGTCAGTGTCCTGGGAGCCTTCTACATAGTGGAAAATCTGAGGCCCATTCTGACTCCCTTTGCTGTGATGGCTTATTTCCCAAGCAGCAAGGGTAACTGTATTCCCTGAGGACTTGTTAACAAACTCGGATGCAGCTGAGGTGGCCACAGTGTTTACTTCAAAGGAAGGAGAATGTGGTTCACCGTGGATGAAGGGGAGGGGTAAAGAGATGTTGAAATCTGTTTGCAATCAAATAGTCCAATGTCCCAGTGAGTCTTGGGGGAGTGGTGTGTTACTGCTTCTGCCCGTGTTGAAGGAGCGGAGCCAAGCAGGTGAGACTAGCCTATAGCAAGCTATACCCCACAGTAAGGTCTCAGTCAGGTGAACTGGACTCAAGGCAAGCCCTTGATGATGGTTTCTCTGTGGGTGGGTTGCAGTATAACCTTTTATCCCCTGTACTCACAGCCTCACGATAGAGTTCCTTGTTGGAAGTCATCTTAGTGAAAATACACAGAGAAATCTGGTCTTTGTTCCTATAGTAACAAAGCTATTTCATAACCTGCTACCTGCCAGCCTTCTCTGTTTCAGGTGCAGCTGGAACAAGCATGGCTCTCTAATGACCACCTGCACATCTGCTGCACTGTAAACAGCAGATGTGGGCACAGGGTGAGAAGGGCGAGGCCAGCTGCATGTGATGGCAGGTGGGGGCTAGAAAGGCAGAGGGACTCCTGCAGCCGCAACCCTTACGGGAGAAGGGGATCAGGACAGATGCAGGACAGACCTATTTTTCAACCCTGCTGTTAAAGTGTTTCATGCAACAAATGAGAACAGGGTCTGGTGCTCATGGCCTTAGCCTACCCTGGCTTAGGAACAGCCCAAAGGGCTAAAAAGTAAATTAGTTTTCAAAGTAAAGAATCAATGAGCATTTTAGGAAGGAAGGAAGTAGAGAAAGAATCAAGGTGAATAAATGAAAAACAGTATCACAGCCTTAAAAAAAGAAAAAAAAAAAGGCTGTTTAGCCCAAACAACCAAAGAGTAAAGGAAGTGATGCCATTATTTATTTGTTGCCATACAGCAATAAATTTGAAGTTTGGTTTAGTTTCCTTTGGTTTTCTTGGTAGTACTAAGGAACAGGGCCTTCACACTGCTACATCACCAACCTTCCACCCTTTGTTTGTTTGTTTTTGTTGTTGTTTGGTACCAGGGATCGAATTCAGGTCCTTATGCTTGCAAGGCAGGCAGTAGAACCAATTCCACCACCTTTTTATGACAACGTCTCCTTAAGTTGCCCAGGCTCTGGGCTTGAACTTGTGTTCCTTCTGCCTCAGCTTTGCAGAGTGCTGGGATCAAAGGCGTATGTTACCATGCTTGTCTTCAAAGTTTTAGTTTAATTATGCATCAGTGATTTTTAATCCCTCTTAAACAGGTCCTCCTTCAAATTCAGTCCTTGAATATGTCCAGTACCACTCTAGTTTGGAAATGACTGTTGTCTAAAAACTGTATAGCGATAAATCAAGAACATTTAATATCTTTTTACCATCTTTGCAGCCTAACATAAGATAACCATCGCATGCCTGAAATCCCAGCCCCCTAAGAGCTAAGGCTGGAGGATTGCAGATTCAAGCTTAGCCTGGGTGACTTAGTGAGATCTTGTCTCAAAATAAAACATAATAAAAGTACGGGAGATATAGTTTAGTGTGAAGGCCCTTGCTTTAACCCCACCAAAAAAAGCCCACCCATCCTGCCTGGTCTCTGGCTTCTGACAGGGTGGAATAACTAACCTCATCCACCAGTCAGCCTGGCCACTCCTATTAAGCCCCTTATCCCTGAGCATCCTAGATTGTCCTAGGTTGTTGCTGGTTCTCATCTTTTCTTCATTCATACCATAGGGGTTAAAGAAAATAACTCCTCGATATTCAGAGCTTGATAGACTGATTAGCACAGACAGCCATCTACAGGTACTGTAAGTCAGGGCCTGACAGCTGCTTTCACTTGCCTTGCCCAGGAAACTACCAGCATGTGGTCCAGGGTCTGCACTTTTCTCTTTTCTATGAAGTCTCATTCAGACCGGAAATGTTGTATTAATTCATGATAGCTAGATCCTGTAAGATCAGCTGGTAATTTTTTTTTTTTTTTTTTTTTTT